GAGGGAGGCGCCTGTTGGGTTTTAGGGTGGAATGCCCATGCATGGCTCCTCCCTTGAATGGGCTCTTGCCTTCATCGCTTATTTTCATATCAGCATGGCTTGGCCAAGCAAAGGTGAGTTCTCTGTGATTGCCAAACATCCTCAGCGTGGTAGTCAACTGCTCCCCCTTCCCCTACTGCCTAGTCTGACTGTCCACATGCTTAAGCTCCAGGCCAGGAAGGCTTATTTTCTTGCCTGCACAGGAATAGAATTTGTAATCTGGGTAGGTGAAAGAGAAATTTAACTTTGCTTGTTGGTTTGACTTTTCTCATTTTCCTATCCAGAATTAACAGTTCCCTTCAAGGTTATTTGTCCTCTGTGTCTTTGCCTTTCCTTGTCTTTTCTCAAATGTCAGCTTGGTTTGGTGGCCTTTCCCAGATTAAGAATCAATTATTAGAAAATCAGACTAGAGGCTCTCTCATGGGTAAGGGTGGACTGCAGAGTGTACTGAAGGTGACAGCAGGAGGAGGCAGCTATGTAGAGGGAACCTGGGGACCCAGATACAAAGGGTTTCCTCTGAGACACCTACCCTTTAGAGAAGAGCCTCCTAATGGCCCGCCTGGGGCGCTGTCTTGCAATTTGGGGTTCTGGATTATGGGCAGAGATGGGATCGTGGGGCCCATTGTTTCACATGCAAAGTTTTTACTAACCCACACTTTCAGGGCCTGGCTCCTTGCAGCCTACATGCTCCTTGCAGCCAACATTTTTGAACTTGAGTCTCCTTTGGATGCTCAGCCATGGGGGCTGCCTCAGCTGCAACCTCTCTGGGCTCACACTCGTAGGCATGTTCTGCCTAACACATCCTGCTCCGTCTGCCTCCCAGACGTGTGTTTATGTCTGATCACTGACTCCCGAGTTCCCCATGACACTACCGGTTTTTAACTTTAATGCCACGCACTTCACTTTAACAAGGGGTTCAGAAAGAGAGACCATCTGTGGACTCTAAAAAATATCCATCCATTTTACACAGTAGGTACCATGTGGAAAGTCTGTTGCCTTGACCCTGATCTCTTGGTCAATGCCAATAAGATAAGGCAAGAAATGCAAAGTATTGTCATGCGCTTGTATTCACACAGAACTGTTTGGGGCCATTCGTGCATTCTCGTACAAACTGCAAGTTGCCATTGGTTCAAACTAAGCAATAACCAAAAATTATTTTGATAATTTTGATAATGAGCCTGCTAAGGTTTCTATGGTCAGTTCAGGGTTTTGCACCCGCTCGTGGCCTTGGCCATTTCACTGAGCTCCAGGCACAGCTGAGAGCACCCTCGACGAGGCCTCCTCTCCAGGCTGACGGCTCTGGGACTCCCAACGGGAGCAAGCCCAGTCCAGAGGGAGCCCGAGGGGATTTCCATGGGAAATTTCTTCCATCCCCTCCCTGCAGTTCATTCTGGGCACCGTCTCGCATACATGGGAGGGGACAAGGCCCCTCTGCCTGGCCTTCCTGTCCTGCGAAGTGAGCACAGCTCTGTGTGATGGGGCAGAGGAAAGTGAAGGAGGTGAAGCCGGAAGTGGTTGTGGCAGACAGGAGTGCTGCTGCACCCGGTTATGTTCACAGCCACTGACCTTATTCTGGGAAATGGGCTGCCACCAGCTGAGGACCACAGGCTTCCCGAGGCAGCGCTGAGAAGCATGCTCTTGTCTTTTTGCCCCCTGATTTCTCACAGAATGGTGAAGATGTTTGTATGTGGGTGAGAAGGGAGTCCGTGGGGTGAAACAGGAGGTGTCAAGCTGTGCAGCAGGAAGAGGAGATGAAGCCAGGAGCACCCATACCTGAGACCCAACAGCAATGTCCTCGAGGGCTGAGTGCGGTCACTAGACACCTTCCCAGATTCTGCCCACACTCAGGAGACTGTTTCTATCATCCCAATCTTTGGCTGCAAATTCTTGGGATCCTGCTATGTGGCAAGGTGAGGAAAGGTCTGCAAGGCCTGGGATGAGTTTGTCAGAGCTAGCAGTGCCCGAGCCTCAGCAGCTCCATCTCAGTTATTCTCTGCCAGGTCCTAAGTGAAGCTGCCGAAGTTATCTGCCGAAGTCTCCAGGGCAGCATCTCACCAGTGCACAGAGAGATGAAAACTCGCTAAGTACATGGGCTTTTGTGAGGGCTTGTGGGTCTGACCCACAAAGGGCTCCTGAACATCGGACTTGTCATTGTCATTGTCAGGGATCCAGAACTGTGCCCTTGTTTGTCCTTGTCACTCTATGTCAGTGAGAAGTGGCTGGAAAGGGGCTGGAAAAAATACCATGGAAGAACACTTGCTTAGATCATTTAGGGTTCATAAGACATGTGGACCCCAAATGGAAGGCAGCTGTAACACTGAGATATGCAGGAGGAAATAGACATCCAGGACAGTGAAACTCTTCTACTCTACACATACATGGAGGGACTTCCTGGCCTGCAAGGTAGACTGCGCTACGGTGAAGAGGTAAACTGCAAACGCCAAGGCAACCACCAAGAGGACAAAATGAATTGTAGCCACTAAACCAGCAGAGAGAGTTAAAAACAAAAGCATAAAATTCAACCTCAAGGAAGACAGGAAAATGAGAGAAAGGGGAGCAAATGGAACAAATGGAGAATAAATAGTAAAGATTGTAGATTTAGACCCAAACATATTGCTAATCACACGAAGCATAAAGGCTCTAAAGACCTGGGTTAAGAGTAGACTCGACTATATGTTCCCAGCAAGGCACCCGCTCAAAATGAAAAAGAACACGGATGGATCAAAAATAGAAAAGTTATGCCTTTTTTGTTTTTGTTTTTGTTTTTTGCTCCGAATGCCCTCAGGGGTGGTTTGGCTGGCTGGAGTGTTGTGGGGATCGAACTACAGCAATCTGAGGCTGACAGCTTTGTGGAAGCAGCCACTTAAACAACTGAGCTAAGGCCAGGCCCCTATGCCATTTTAATAATATCCCAGATAGTAAGTTTCAAAACAAGAATTATCATTAAGAATAGAGAGCATGATTCATAAGGACAAAAGGGCTAATTACTTGGGACGATCCAAGAATCCTAATCTGTGGCATCTCTAATCATCGCTTCATAGCACATGATGCCAAAATTGATAGAAAAAGTGCCAAATGGAACAGGCAAACCCAGTTGTAGCTGGAGACCTTCACACTCCTGGCTCAAACAAATACAGGGTGTGCACAGGGGGCCTCCGCACGGTGCCAACAGCACTGGTCCAAGTTATGTTTGTAGGTGGCCCCACCCCAAATGGCAGTCTAGTGTTTTCAGATGCACATGGAATGTTTACTAAGATGGACCATATTCCAGGCAACAAGAAGTCTGTGTTACCGTAAAGGAATCAGGTAATACAAAGTATTTTCTGATGACAATGAAGTTAGAGGTTGCTAACAAAAACATATCTGGAAAAATCCCCAAATATTTGAAAACAAATTATATCTTCCCAAATAAAGCATGAGGGTTGGAGAGATAGCTCAGCCGCATAAGCACCTGCCTGGCAAGCCCGAGGTCCCAAGTTTGATCCCCAGTACCTAAATAAATAAACCACGAGTCAAGAAATCAAAAGGGAAACGAGAGAAATTTATCCTCAGAGAAGTTCCTGTCTTATCTCTTCTCTTTCTTTAAACTTGTTACCAATTTGTGCAATTATAAAGTAATGCAAAAGTAAGCCTACAGGGGGCTGGGGAGATGACTCAGTGGAATAAGTGCTTCCCTGGCAAACGCAAGGGCCTGAGTTCAATCCCCAGTTCCACCAAAATGAAAAAACAAACAAACAAAAAAGGATAAAAACCAAAAGTAAGCCTACAATTCTAGAGTCTCACTTGTAGGGTATAATGATAAATAGAGAGTCCTTTTCTAATGGGAGAATAGTAGGTATAATGCAGGGCCAGAGCCCCCATTACAGTGCTTCTAGTTTTTCTTTTATGGGCAGATGGCCTCAAATGTCAATGGTAGGTTATTTCAATTATTTGTTTGTTTATTTATTTATTTATGTGCAGTACTGGGGATCAAACTGGGGGCCTTACTATTGCCAAGCAAGTGCTTATGCCACTGAGCCATCTCCCTGGCCCTATAGTAGATTATTTTATTTTATTTTTTGGCGGAATCGGGGGTTGAACTCAGGCCCTTGCGCTTGCCAGGGAAGTGCTTATTCCACTGAGCCATCTCCCCGGCCCCAATGGTAGACTATTTTAAATGATTCTAACACTATCTCACAAAGTAACCTTGGGTCCAACCTGCTTAGCCAAGTGAGGGTCATTTATCCTTTTTGGTTTCTGGCAGATGACTTAGATGGTTTATCCTAAAAACAGCATCTCTATCCCTTTCTTCTTTTCTTTTCTTTAAAAATAATTTTTATTTATCTATTTGGAATAGGGTATCACTACGCAGCTCAGACTCACAGTGATCGTCCTGTCTCAGCCTCCTCAGCACTGGGATTGCAGGTGTGGGCCATAACACCCAGTTCTGGGGCCAGCGGGGCAATGAGGTACCAGTATTGAACTCAGGTGCTTGTGCTTGCCAGGCAGACATTTAGACCACTGAGCTGTCTCCTCAGCCCCTCTATCTCTTTCTTATATCAGGGAAGGAGAGTAGACAGTGGCCTACACTGTTATAGGCCTGAGCCCTAGGAACTAAAGTTGGCTGTGTATCCAGTTGTCCCAAACAGTGGATCCAGGAATCCACAGCTCCTGGAGAGTAGTTGGCAAGTCTGTGAATTTTGACCCACTGTTTTATTTTTTGTTTCCCAAGAATTGCACAGCACAACCCATCAGAGTATTTTTGTAGCCACTAGGTATACACGGCTGTTTAACTTCAAATTAATTAAAATAAGGCTCAAGACTCAGCTCTGCAGCCACGCCTACCACATTTCAAATGCTCAGTAATTCTGTGTGGTTCATGGCGTAGCAATCAGTGTCGGGTAGTGGAACTGGGTGATGAAATGGGCAGGTCCCTTGAACAAGTAAGACTAGACGGTCCCTCCCCTCACTTCCTCTGTGCTCTTCCTGCCTGAAATCCTGGCTTAGCAGCACTTGAAAAATTAAGAAGGCTGCACGACCCCGACTTTCCAGGTAAGAGACCAGGGCTGGGTGTGTGGGTAGAGATTATCCAATTTGGTAGACAGGGTTTGACTCTCCTCCAACTCTGTGCTAAACCCCTGAGAAAACTTGCTCTCAGAATAATTTGTTTTGTGGGTTTCTGTTTCTTGTTTATGCTGATTTTAGGTTGTAACCTTTCTTGAATGCTGAGCCTTTGAATTAATGTATCTTTTAGGGGCTGCCACTTATAGAATGTGTGTTTTACAAATAAATTACTCTTGCACTGGTTATACAGTGCGAAAATGAATTCCGTCTTCCTGGCCTAGAATTAGTTGGGTAAGTGGACAGGATTTGCTCTGGAGAGATGGGGTTGAGAAACACATCGGGACCCGCAGGGGCCCAGCACAGCGTGCGGCCCTCCCGTGCTGGCACATGTCGGTCAGGGGTTTTGCAGTCTGAGGTTTTCTCACCCTATTAACTGTCTGCTCAGAGCTGCCCCCTAGGTAACCTGGCTCTCCAGGGACAGCCCTTTCCTGGGTTGGCTCAGAGTTGAGCCCTCTCTTAGAAGGTAGGAGGAAAGAAATGCCACCATAGGCGACAACCACGCAGGAGCAGCTGGAATCGAAGGGTGCTTGTTCTCTAGGCAAAGCTGAGCCACTTGAAGTTGGCACCCACAGACCCCATCTCCTGGTTTTGCACCTGAATTTGGGTGGGCAGAGCGGCAGAGCGGCAGAGCAGAGCTAGGGAGTTCCTGTGTTGGAAGAAGGGAGCTTCAGAAGTGCCAGAGATCCTCTGTTTTCCTGTTGGCGTCCCAGCTCTTCATCTAATACCACATTGTGGTCAACATTGATTTTTAAAATCAGCTGGTCTCTTTTCCTGGTTTCTCAGAAACTAGTTCCTAATGCTGTACTCCTAAAAAATAAAGAAATAACCCTTCCAAAGAAGTGTATGGCTGTGTGTTTCCAATTTGTATGTGTCGCTTCCCACCTGGTGGCCTTGCCCTTAACAAGAAGGGCATCCTATCCTGGTCAGAGTCTGCTCCAGAGTTCTTCAAAGCATTTGCGGGCTGCAAGGCAAGAAAACCTTAAAAGGTGAATCCCACTGCGTGCTGATTAAGATGGAAAGAGTCGTTATTTTCACAACTCAGACGCTGGCCAGGCAAGAAAAGAGAAACCAGAGGCAGAGAGATTGCTTACCAATTCATTTATTTAGCAGATACTTACTGGGAACCTCTCTCTGTGCAGTACTGTGCTTCACTCCAGGGAACAAGCAGAGGCACAGGACCATGGTCCTCCCCACAGCAAGCTTCCAGTCTAAGAGGGGGCAGAGGGGCCGGGGAGATGGCTCAGTGGAATAAGCCCTTCCCTGGCAAGCGCAGGGGGCTGAGTTCAATCCCCGGTTCTGCCAAAAAAAAAAAAAAAAAAAAAAAAAAGAGAGGGGGCAGTAAGACATCCAAATGACATTTATCGTAATGTGTTCTGTTAGGAGCCCCAGGACCCCTCCAGAGCTCTCACAGGTGACCACACCAGCCTGCAGTGTCCCGGGCTGGGCCTATGCTGGCGCCAGGGGGAGGTGTTGGGGAAGAGCTTTCTGGGGCGCAGAGGCTGGAGGGCTGAGCAGGAATAAGCAGGACATCAGACAAGGATGAAAGTGCTCCAAAGAGATAAGAACATCCTGCAAAGTCCTTAAAAGAAGTAGCTTAAAGGATTCTGGGAAATTGAGAAGTTCATTATCACGCAAGGGCTTATGGACTATTGTGTGGGCTTAAAATCTTTTCTTCTGTTTTATTTTCTTAATGCATAGTAATTATCCAGATTCATGGACATCATTTTGGCAGATTCCTTCGTGCACACAACATGCTTGGGTCACTTCTCCTGCAGTTATCTCCCTTGCCCTGCCCTCCCACTTGGCCTTGTTCCCTTCTTCTTCTCTGCTGAGGCTCTGTTGGAAGAGCCGCTGTTAAGTCTTCTTCCATTCTGTAGACCAGCTCCTCACTGTTAATGGCTTCCTTTGCTGGGAGAAACTTCTTAATTTGATGTAGTCCCATTTGTCAATTCCTTTACTATTTTTTCTTTTTAATAATTTTATTGAGAAACAAATATCAATGAGACAGTTTCACAACCAACTACTGGCACATTTTCAATGATTAATACATTGTGTATTGTCCTTTACTATTTTTTGTGATATAGAAGTTTCAGTCAGGAAGTCTTGAAGTCTCACCCCTATTTTCTGCTTAGCAGTTGGGTGTTTTTGGTTTTTCATTTTGTGTTTTTCAGACAGGGTCTCAAAAAGCTCAGGCTGGCAGCTGGCCTTGAGCTCACTTTATAGCCCAGGCTGGCTTCGAACTTGCAGCAGTCTCCTGCCTCAGTACCCCAGAGTGCTGGGATTACGGGGTGTGCCTCCGTGTCCAGCTTCAGAAGTTAGGTTTTACACTAAAGTTTTTCCTATGAAGTAATTTTGGTATAAGATAAGAGATAGGGATCTACTTTGTACTTTCAATTTTTTGCATACAGATGTCTTTTCTTCCAGAATCACCTGTTAAAGAGGCTGTCTTTTCACCAATAAGTTGTTGCCCCTTTCGTCAAGAATCAGATGGCAGTAGTTGCTTGTTTCTGTGTCCTCTGCTGTAGGCCGTTGGTCCATGCGTCTGATCTGAGGCCAGCACCACTCTGATTTTCTTCATACAGCTGTGTAGCGTGTGTTTTTAATCCGGGTATTTTGATAGCTCCAGTTCTGCTCCCTTTGCTCAGAATTTCTTTGACAATCTTGTGTCTTCTGTGTGTCTATATGAACTTTAGGGTTTATTTCTTTATTTTTTTAGTTCTGTGAAGACTGTCATTGGCATTCTGATGTGAGCTATTACTGAATTTTCAGAAATACAGCAATTTTGTCAACACTAGTTCTGCTGACCTGAGAACATGGGTGTTCTCTCTACCTTCTTGGGTTTACTTCAGTTTTTTTCCTTTTCAATTTCTTTCCTCAGTGTTCTGTAATTTTCATGATAGAAGTCTGACGGTCTTCTATCTTCCTAGTTACATTCTTTCCCAGATAATTTTTTTCTTTTTAAAATGATATTGTGAATTAATTTTTAAAACTTTCTTTCTCAGCAGGTTCATGTATAGAAAAGCAATTGATTCTTGTCAGTTGCTGGCATCCTGCCACTTTGCTGAATTTGTTCATCAGATGAAAGTCGTTGGGTCGAATTTTTAGGATCTTCTAATAAAGCATCATATTATCTGCAAGTAGGGATAGTTTGACGCCTTCTTTTTGGAGTCAAAATTTAATTTTTTCTTTAACCTGATTTCTCCAGCTAAAATTTCAATGATTATTCTGAAAAAAGTGATGGTAGATGCCTTCATTTCTTTCTTTATTTTAGATGAAAATCTTAGCTTCCTCCTTTCAGTAGGCTATTAGCTGTGTTTGTCATAGATAGCCCTTATTACAGTGAGGAAGAGCCTCTTAAAATAGTTCCTTCAGGGCTTGTGTCATTAAGGGATGTCAGATTTTGCTAAGGGCTTTTCCCACCTCCACGGCAATGAACATGTAATTTTTAATCCTTGATTCTGTTTATGTAATGTGTTACATTTATTATTGGTAATGTTGAACCAGCAAAGATTTAAACTAATTTTTTTTGGTAGGACAGTTTCAATAATTAACACATTTTATACATTCTTCCTAGTGGTTAATTGCTGTACAAGATACAGACTTGATATCCTATTTACAAACTCCAGTAGAACAAATCCCTCTATTCATTAAGAGAATGTAGCTATATATCTATCCTAACCACTTTGAATACATAGATACAAAATGGACATTCATCTGTATCCCCTTTTTTGGTTAAGTTCCATCATTTAAATATTATAGGCGTGTAAACTCAGCAAAATATTCCAAAAGAGTTCAGTAGCCCATAATAGTATTGGGTCTTCCACTTCACTGGCAATGTCGAAATTGTTGACCTGAGTCCCCTACAGCTCAACATAACATCATTGCTTTACTTCTTATACTTCATTTTTATACTTTTCTGCTGGATGGTTAAGACCAAGGTAAAGCAGGACCTATGCAACAAGAGTTGTAGCTTTTGGGTCTGATAAGGTCAGTGAAATCCCCTCAGGATTTATCCTGAGATCCTGTACCTCAAATTTTTTTAAAAAATTAATTTATTTATTTGTCTGTGTGGCCAGGTCAGCCCACCAGGGGCGGGGCTGGCTGGTATGTGGTGCTGGGGGATTGAACTGTGGTCCCTGTGCTTTGCTAAGCTTGTTCTAAGTAGGTGCTTTAGACCACTGAGCCATCTCACCAGCCCCCTGTACCTCAGACTGTAGAACTTTTGTCAGTGTCAGCCATGTGAATGAGTCACGGCCATTGCTTGGCCAATGTGCTCTCTGTGAAAGCCTGAGAGAATGTTTTCTCTCCATGTGTAAACTAATTTTTAAAGGCAATAAGAAGCCACATGGGAACATAAAGAAAAAAAAACTCCATAAATTTTTAGCTTTAAAGTCAGATCTGATGGCAAACTGGCCCAGTAAGAAGCTGTGACAGTGGACTAAATTAGCACAGAGAGTGAGTTTGAGATGTTTGGAAGCCAAATCTGTAGGACCTGCTGATGGGCTGATGAGAGCAAGGAAAGAAGAGCTGTGAGTGACTCCAGAGTTCAGCAGGAGCTGCTGGCTGCACAGCGATCCCATCAACCGGGATGAGGGCTGTGGGTGACAGGAGGTGGAAGGAATCTTTGCAGCCAGCTTTGCTTGAGGTGCCCATGAAATAGCAACGAGAGCTTGGAACTCTTAGGAGCAGGGAGGCCACAGAAGACCTGTGAGAGGCCCCACAGTCCTGAGTCGCTTGAGAAAGAGGAGCAGGGGCCAGACCAGTGCTGGAAGTGCTGCGGCATCCTCGTGTGCATAAAGGAAATGCAACAGCCCAAACCTGGAGAATCGGAACCTACTGTGGGAGGGTAGGCAGGCGGGGGAACTGAAGTAGGGAGTGTATGCCCAAGGAGAAAGCGGTGGCTCTGTAGGAAGTCAGGATTCCAAGTTGCTGTCCATGTCCTTAAAGTGATGTGCTCATGTTTCTTAACCTACAGGAATTCAAACCGCAATGGCAGTCCGGTACCACGGTGACGAGAGGTTACACCTCTGTAAAGCAGGGACCAGCCAGGGTGAGCAGTGGCCAGCATTGCCAGGTCGGGCTGCAGAGGGGAGGGCGTGGTGCGAGGGGTGGGGCCAGCCAGTCCCCAGCTGAGCAGAAAGAAGACAACCCAGCCTCCTTTCTTTCCCTTCACCCTGTTCTTTTGCCTCTCTCCACTCTGCACTTTCTCTTCATGATGCGGCCAAACAGCTAAGTAGGACAGAGAAAGCCAAAATGGGCTCGGATCAGTGCAGGGCTCAGCACGTCCTCCAGTCCAGGTTCCTGCGGCATGGACGCGGGAGGACAGCTGCTGTGGCTTCTCTGGATGCTTTCCTGCCCTTCTCTTCAATGGAAAAGAATTGGGGAGGAGGAAAGTGGGAGCCATGAGCCCCCAGCCTGGCCCTGCATCTCCCTGCTCCTGGTGGCCTCACTATGACCAACAAACTAAAGCGGGTCATGCATTTAGTTCATCACATAACTCATCACTATTCCTGCACCCGCGGAGCTGGGCTCGGCCAGCTGAGCCTTCGCTGAGTTGGCAAACTCTCTCAGTGAGGTAGCTCCAAACACCAGCCACCATGTAGTAGCTCCAGACCTTCCGGGCTAGCAGGGCCGTTCTTGGGTCTGAGCTACCTCTTGTAATCTCAGCCCCTTGCCCACATACCTATGGTAACCGGTGGCTCAGGGTACAGCCTGATGATCTCCACGGCCTCGTGGACGTGTATGTAGGTAACGGCTCTGAGGTGGGCTCTCTGGGTGGCTACAGAAACATCATGTGGCTGTCTTGGGGTCACAGTGCACAGAGCTTTGGAGTCTTTGCTTACATTGTGCCTTCTACTGCACTGTGACACAAAGCAAGTCCCATGGCTCTCGGGCTGCATTTTAGTTGGAGGAGTCGCAAATCCACATCTTAAAGAAGCACCCTACGGGGAGGGATGGTTGGGGCTGTATTTGCAGTCCACACCATGGACCGTCATCACACGCTTTCAACATTGACAAGCCGCGGTGGTACTGGAACTGCTGGAGCCACCCGAGGTATTTTCGCATTTCACTTGCCATGGATTTCTTAGTCGCTTTTCCTGGGGCCAACTCACCACTGCCTTCAGGAGATCCTTTAGTCTTTGTCTTGGTTACTTTCCTCTTGTTTCTGGGACAAACTACCTGAGGCCCAAAGTTGGGGAAGGAAAGTTTTATTTAGCTCACAGTTTGTGGATGTTTCCATTCATAATCAGTTGGCTCCGAGGCAGGGTGGCACATAGCACAGGGGCAGTAGGTCACGGCAGCAGAAGACCGCAAAGGCAACAAGGGCATAAAGTGAGGAGTATAGGAGGAGGTGCTTCCAGTCCCTTATATTGCATGCAGGCCGCCCACCCCAGGGGGGGTGTAGCGCTCACACCCTAGTCCCAGCACAAATTCCAGATTCAGCCACCTCCTAGCCCCTCCCCCCAGCACGACTGTGCAAGGCTTTGGGAAGACACGAAGACGCAACCCGGAATCGTCTTCCACTGTGATGTCGATTAAATAGTGATCTGAACTCCACCTACACTTGTCCGTAGGTGACCTTAGTCTTCCTAGATTCAGTGTTCTCATCACTTAACTTTTAGAAATAGACTTTAAAAAAAAGTCCTGGGCTTCTGGTTCTCAAATATGAGAAACCCTGACTTAGGATAGTGACTGATTGTTAACTCTCCTCCTTCGCTACTTAGTGGGAAGTAGAAAAGTGACACTTTGAATATAAACTGGGAGAAAAAAAATCTCACCCTGCAGATATCCCAAAGTCAGTTGTAATACTTCCTATATCATCTTCTTGGAAGAACTACCACCAGTGTCTTATAGTTCTCTTCTGAAACTTTTTTTTTTTTCTTTTCTGTATTGGGGATTGAACTCAGGACCTTGCACTTGCCAGGCAGGCACTTGTGCCTCTGAGCTATTTTTCCTTAAACCATGTTGCTTCCACTTTGTGTGGTATAAAGCTACTGAAGGTCACAGTAACAAGTGCAGGTGAGAAGTACTTGTACAAGTGAGAACTACTCAGAACAAGTACTGAAAAGAGAGTGAAGACAGGAGGTCAAGGGACAGGCTCCTTGCTCAAGTACTACAAGATGGCCAGTAGACCCGAAGCTGCCTATGGGTCTTGTGAGCACAGGGCTGGTGGGAGAAAGTCTCTAATTAGCAATACAGAAGGGCACAGGGTGGGGGCATTCTGCATGACACACTGTTGGAGTTAGATTCTGATGCTGCGGCTTTGGTTTCCTTCATATCCCAGGGCCTGAAAACGAAGACTGTGGAAATTCTCAGCTGAGAATTATCTTACTGGGCAAAACTGGAGTAGGAAAAAGTGCAACAGGCAATAGCATCCTAGGAGAGAAAGCCTTTCTTTCTGGCGTTGCAGCGAGGTCCATTACCAAGGTCTGTCAGAGAGGGAGCACCACATGGAATGAAAGAAAAATTGTTGTCATCGACACACCTGGTGTTTTTGACACCGAGACCCCGGATGAGGACACGCAGAAGGAGATCGCCAACTGTATCCTCCTGACCTCCCCAGGGCCTCATGCTCTGGTCCTCGTCGTCCCGATTGGCCGTTACACTGATGAAGAGAGCAAAGCCACAGAGAAGATCCTGAGTATGTTTGGACCCAATGCCAGAAGATTCATGATGCTTGTACTCACTAGGAAAGATGATTTGGAGGACACAGACCTCTGCGATTACTTAAGGCATGTCCCAGACCGCATGCAAGAACTGATAGGCAAGTTTGGCGATCGCTACTGTGCACTCAACAACAGGGCGACAGGTGCTGAGCAGGACGCCCAGAGAAACCAGCTGCTGAGCCTGGTCCAGCGCATCGTGGGGGAAAATGGCGGGGAGTACTACAGCAATGGGTGGTACTACAAGGCTGAGGAACAGATTCAGGAACAAATCCAGCTGGTACAGGAGAATTACAGAGCACAGCTGGAGAGGGAGAAAGCTCAGCTAAGAGAGGAGTATGAAGAGAAGATCAGAGAGATGAAAGATGAGCTAGAACAGGAAAGGAGAAAGGCGGAAATGGAGAAGGAAATAATGAAAAGGGAGATTTTTTATGCCCAGAGGCAGCAAGATGCCAGAGTGGAAGTTGAGAACCAGCCTTCCATACTTCAATTAATTATGAAAACATGGGACGTTGTTTTCTTTTTCTTTTCTCTGTTTAAAGATTAGACTTAATGAAAATCTGTCTGTTTTCTGCCTGTTCTTGAATGAATCTGCCTGGTAGGGCTAATTCACCAAAGCTCAAGTTAGTTTCTGAGGCTTTTATGACTAAATAGTGCAGTGAGTGATACTGTTGGCCGGTAGTAGATGCTTGACTGATTGAGCAGGAGAACACATCCTAAGCTGGTAAGATTTCAAAGCAGAAAGTATTAGTGCTTGCTCACTGTGAGCTCTTCTTGAGAGACACAGAGAAAGGAATGCAGGAAGCCAAAGAGCAGGACCCTAAGCTGTATTAGAAGTTTCCGCAAAAGTTCTTCTCTACATTATTTCTAGGTTGGCAGATACTATCTGCTTGTTACTTCTGCTTGCATGTCCTTGCCTTTAACATAATAGCAAGCATCTTCACCCGGATAGTTTGTTAGAAAGCTCAACTCTTTCTTTGCATGAGGTAATCTTGTAGACGTGCAAACATGATTGTAGAATTCCTTTGCATTTGTTTGCTTACATTTTCACAGAAGGACTGAGGTTATTTCTTATGTTCTCTGCTCCCTGAAGAATAAGCACATCTGGAGAATATATCTCCCAGAACTCAACCTAGTAGTGATTCTCCAAAGCCAGAAGGAACAAGAGCAGTTTCACAAATGAGAGACAAATGCGTAGTATATTCAGGTGTGATCCATCTCAGTGAACCAATTTGATTAATAAGAAATTCTTTCCTTTTTGTGAGAAATAAACTATTGCCACCTCACTCCTATCACCCCACAACTTCAATGTTTAACAACATTCACGTGCTTTTGCCCCCAAGCCAATAAATTCTTTGTTGTTATTAAAGTAAAACTTTTCCGTTTGCTCATATTTGTACAGAATGAGATCATTTTTTTGTCTTGGAAGATATTACTGGTACTTCTAAACTTCAGAGATGAATATCACTTTTGGGTAAAAGTCTGAGATAATTTTGGAGCTAGACTTGGTCTTCTAGAAATGGTTCCTCTTCTCCTGTCTCTGAAGATTTGAACTGTGTTCTCAACTTGCCCACAGGCCAAAATCATAGTTTTCTTTGTTCTTCACGGTGTGCTGAAGGAATTTGTGTGTGACCAAGAAATCTGAGACCCGTGCACATTTCCTCACATAAAAATCTCCTTTTATACAGAGATAATGAGAGATAACTCTTCTGTTGGGCTTCCTTCATCTAGAAATTTCTAGAACTCTCAAAATCATTTTCCCATCCTCTACCAACATATTGTAGTGGTTTCAAGTCCAATTCTCTTTGCTTTGCCATTTTGAAAGTGCCTATTCACGACTTTATCCACCTCCCAAATAGGGCTTGCGTCTCTCCATAGTTTCCCCTCAGCACAAGCGAGTTTGACCTGCACATTTAACCAACGTAACAAAGGTGCTACGGCAGTGGCTAGAGAAGGCCACAGTAGATTCCTTCAGAAATGGTCGCTTAAAGGTATATATCTTGTGTCTCACTCTTAAAAATGTAGGCATCTTTTGAGTCTTTTTATTTTCATGATTGGAGTCCTTATCAAAATTCTAAGATATGGGCTGGGGAGATGGCTCAGTGGAATAAGTGCTTCCCTGGCTAGCGCAAGGGCCTGAGTTCAATCCCCTGTTCCGCAAAAAAAAAAAAAAAAATCTAAAATATGTGTTGGACATCCTACTGAATGCCCAACCTTCTGTAAACAAATATTTGAACAATAAACGTCACATACCTCCAAAGGAAACATAAGTACATGCCTCTTATGAAAACAAATTTTTAACTGCTATGATTTTTTTCGCTGTGAATTACATTCAATTATTCTTACCATTTTACTCAGGTAAATGCTGAAGATTAGGAAAAGGAAAAGGTTATTCCCCTTAGAAGCATCAGTAGTTGAGAAGTTCACATAGAAAACCCTGGAAAGAGGGTTGACCATTGGTCTCTCCAGGGAGAAGGCAGACAGAGGGTCCTTGACAAATACTGTGCACTGCAATCACTGTGAGAGGAGAGTGGAACATATTTCCTCTCTGGGTAAAAGTCCAAGATAATTTTGAATTTCTGGATTTTATACTTACTGAATAATTAAATGAGATTAAATTTATTGCTTGTCTTTCATAATAGTTTTAGACTAAACAGTGAGAAACTAGAGAAAAGTAAGACAAAGTCCATTTTGAGGCTGGTTTCACTCATCTCATTGTAACCCACTGATTCTTTCCGTCTGGGCTCTTGTCCTGAGGAAGATAAGGGAAGAAGCTGACTGGACCACAGTGGGGAGCACAGTAGGTGCGGTTTACTAGAATGAACAAAAGGGAAACTCTCCCTAGCCAGGAGGGTGATGGGGATCAGACTATGTAAGGGCTAAACTGCTGAACATAGGGACCTCTGACCTTCCTGGATTCTCCCATTCTACATTGTTCCTTTTATTTGAGCCTTCATACAACTCATTTTAGAAAACTGAGGGCTACGTCAAGTTCCTGACAAGAGGCGTTCCCAGGGGCACACTACAGAGGCATCTAAATCTAGACCCTCGAATTCAATCTTTGGCACACAAAAGAGGCAGAGGGATGGAGTTGCTGCTCCTGCTAGGCCTCAAAGCTAGATTGAGTTAAAAATGAGACAAACAGAATTTCAAAAATCATAGTCTCGACAAAAACAAAACATCCAGTGGCCTTGACTCTTGGGGAGGTAAAATGTGAGTGAGAGAGCCCATTCCTAGAAGCACCAATGTGATCGATGCGGATTATATAGGCGAAATCAGGGCTATTATTAAAGCTACCCGAGCCATTGCTCAAATCACCCCAGCTATTCCTATTGCTCAAATGGTCATTTTTCCCTTGGCAAAAAAGGCAAAGTTGCAAACTTGGAGAGATGCTGAAGGCCGTCCTGGATATTTCTCTCTACGTCCTACCCCATATATTGGTCAGTCTATGGGGTCGTGACATATTACAAGGTATGGGAGCATTGTTGGCCAGCCCTAACTCCCTGCTGACTCATCAAATGTTGCAACAAGGTTTCCTTCCCACTCAAGGGCTTGGCAAAAATCATAAAGGGAAAGAGACCCTCTTCCAGTTACTCCTAAAAGGGACCATTTTGACATAGGCTACTCATCCTCACATTTTCAGGAGGGGCCTTGAGCTCTTCTCCGACCCCACAGATGACATCCAAGATAACTTGGATGCCTGGTGATCCTGTTTGGGTTGATCAATTGCCCTTCACACAGGAGAAGATAACAGCAGCTCATACACTGGTTAATAAACAGATGACAGTAGGGCATTGTATTAGTTACTCTTCTCTTGTTGCTGGGACAAATACCCGACACTCAAAATGAGGGAAAGAAAGGTTTATTTAGCTCACAGTGACTGGAGGGTCCAGGATGACCCTCTCCACATCTCTCAGAAAGAACAGGCTGCCAGTCTAACGCTTCACCGCTTCTTGGCCCCGCCCCTCGGGCCCTGCCCTGGTCCTCTGGCCCCGCCCCCTTGGGCCCCACCCTGGTTATAGTTCAATCTACTCAAAACACTGTTTAAATCACTCCAAACTCTCATATCACTCAATTGGTCGTTCTTTCCTTAATAAAAAATTTAAGATTATTAGAAAAAATATTAGAATAAAAACAGGGATAGGCTGATTAAAGGAAAAACATTTGAAAGGGCTTTTCAAATATAAATGCGGATGGCCTCCAGGTAGTACATTTATGAAGGTGCTGGTTTTGCCTACCTGGGGCCATTCCCCAGAAATAGAGCTTGACACGGGGGCAGAAGACGGAGAGGTTCACACACTCCATTGCAATGGACACTGGAGAAGGGGTTTTTACATTTTCCCCTTAAGGAGATTAGGTTGGAAGGTGTAAAGACTTAATAGAATTTTATGCCTTAATTATAAAAAATTATAAAAACCCCTTGTGCTTCCTGTTATCTGCTCTAAAAAATGTGTTCTCCCTTTTGGCTCAAGGTTGCTCAACAATAAATAACTGTTTCTTGTCAAGGCAGCAAGCTAACACAAACTCCCTCCCCAACCATCTCCTGTAACTAGTCAGCTTAAGATGTATCTTATAAAAATATATACTTATCACTAAGCTATAAAAGACCTTTTAGTTATAAACAGTTTGCAGCTGTGTCAAATAAATGCAGTTTCTTTTGTTCTGTACTAGATAACAAGTTTGCTTACCAAACTGGATGTGATTTCTGTTATAAATACCCCCTTGCTACCTACGTTCGGGGCCAATCAGCCTTCTCCTGTGAGAGAAGTGGCTGAGGGACCTGAGCTCAGTAAATAAAAGGCTCTATTCAAATTTCTATCTGGCTGATCTGGTTCCTATTCAAAGTTGACCCATAACAGAAGGCTGTTTCCATCCTAAAGTCAAAACACTTTGCTTTTAAAAAAAATAATATTTCAAGATTTTTTTAGCTTGATTTACAATAATTGGGATTTTTAAAAGATTGCTTAAAATTCTTTTAATTCCCAATAAGGTTGATTGCTTGTTTTACAGTTCTAAGTTAAAGTTGGTATGAAAAAAGCTTTGATATTTTACAAACATAGAAGTTTGGAGTACAATTTAAAAGCGGTGTGGGTTAAATAGGCCTTGATTTTGACATCCCACTTAAATAAAGACCTAATGGTGGCCTCCAAAGGGGTACAAGCTATGACAACTTCTTTACCTTTGGGTCAGCTCATCCAACAAAGATACACTGTACCCCCAACTGTTCAGATCAACCTTTCGTGATCTTCAGACTTTATTTGATAATGTTAATTGGCTCCCTCTAGATTTTGAGCTAATTTCTCTGGTGTTATTGACTGTCATTATCCTTTAGATGAATTAAATTACTTTGCTTTTTTTTTTTTTTTTCCCCACAGATGGGTCGTATGAGGGTAAGTGAGGCTATGTGATGGTTTCCTCTTCCAAAATATAAAATACAGGTTTCTCACCATGCATTCAAAATTCAACTACAAGAGCAAAAGGGGGAATCAATGCCTCCACCTTCACTTGTCAGTATACACTGCTGAATTTTTAAACTTTTACAACATATGGAAGTACAACAGAAAGACAATTCCATCAGGTAAGAGAAAAAAGGCTAGGCAGAGTCCTTGGGAGAGATCTCCATACTAGAAAACAGAAGGGACCCAGTCCACTACTAACCTGGGGCAGAGGGTATGCTTATGTTTTTCCAGAAAATGCTGAATGACAGATTTGCGTACCAGAGCGTGCTGTCAAGCTGTACCATGAAGCCAGGTCTGGAGAAAAGTTAACGGCTATGAGACTAATTCCAACCTAGAGCCTATTGAAGGAACTGACCAAATGGAAAGCTAAGGTCTAAGGAGGTGGTACAATATATAAAAATAACTGAGCTAAATTTTACTAGTATTAAGACAAAAAATACAAAAATGCATATTAATCACAGATAAAAGATTTTAATCCTTCCAAATTTTTCTGGTAAGAGATCCCTGCTAATTGAAAAATACCAAAACCTAAAAATTGCAATAGAGATACTATAATTTAATTTGGCCAGGAATATATTTGGGTGCACTCTGATTATGTAAAGAGATTTGTTTGTGCATTCTGTATATGTATTTTTGTGTTGTGTGTCCTTCTTTGAACAGTTCTTCATCTTTTTTCTTTTTTGATCAATTGTTCATAATTTAATTTGGGATATACACTTAAGAGCATGTGTTTTCCTAAGTTATCAGATGATTTAAAAGATAAAGATTTCCAGAAAAAAAATTATAGTAAGGCTTTCTCTGAATTTTTTTTTTTTTTTTTCAGCACCAGGGATTGAACTCAGGCCCTTGCCCTTGCCAGGGAAGCACTTATTCTACTGAGCTATCTCCTCAGCCCCAAGATTTTCTCTTAAAAGATGCTGTTGGTACAAAACTAAATTAATTAAGAAACAAAGGTTTTCACACATGTGTGGTAATTCATTATTGTTAATCTCATGCTGTATTAAGTACATTCATGATCCCAATTGTACAGATATTCTCAAATGTAAAACAAATGTTGTTTATTGTGATAAGACTTTCTCTCAGATTCAAACCCCTGCCTTTGACAAAACACTTGTGATGTATATCCCATTTAAGGATGACTCTGTAAGTGAAAATTTCTTAGATATTAGAAAGAGATGATTGGCTAAAAGTGTTATGTCAAAACAAAAATTTAAGTATGTCACAAAATGTCATATTGTTTTGCTACAATGTTGTATACGATTTTCACTTCTACATTTCTGTGTAAAGATATGTACTTGTTGTCTTTTAACATTCTATAGGGATTTAAATATTAAAATATCCATGCTGTTAGAAAACAAAGTTCCATTTTGTGTCAAAGGTGTTAGATATTCAGATAGATAGTGATGTTAAGCTTATTGACTCCATTACAGGGTATTATTGTTATGCTTCTCCTCTAGATGTTTAACAACTAAACTTTGGAGACCAAAGTTAGACTGATAGATAGGCTAAAAGGATAGCCAAAATTTTGGCCCTAGCCCTCTGAGGTTAATGAGGACTCAGGACACAAGAGAACCTCTGCTGTGA